AAGTCTATACAGTTATTTTTTTTTTTTCTTAATCGGATTATTACCTATTCTAGGTTAGAACAAACAACAACATGATGGCTAAACGGATTGCTCAAACAATATTATTACTGACTACTTTAATAAGTTTCTATAACATAGTAAAAGCCGAAGAAAAGTCACTTGTTAGAATACGAAGAGAACCCCCTTCAAAGTATGGACCACCAAAGCCATCAAGACCCAGGCCTGTTTATGGGCCACCAAAATCTAATAGTTGGTCTAAACCAGTTTATGGTCCACCACCAAAACCTAAATATGGACCTCCGCCAAAATCGAAATACGGTCCACCAAAACCAAATTATGGACCTCCAAAACCCGTATACGGACCACCAAAACCCGTATACGGACCACCAAAACCCGTATACGGACCACCACCAAAGCCAAAATATGGACCTCCTAAACCAGTATATGGCCCTCCATCAAAACCAACGCAATCTTATGGACCACCATCAGGAGGAGGATTTAAACCTTCTACTTCATATGGAGCTCCGCCATCATCTTCATATGGAGCACCACCTTCATCATCATATGGGGCACCACCATCATCGTCATATGGGGCACCACCGTCATCATCATATGGAGCACCACCGTCGTCATCATATGGAGCACCACCATCATCATCATATGGAGCACCACCGTCATCATCATATGGAGCACCACCATCATCGTCATATGGAGCACCACCGTCATCTTCTTATGGAGCACCGTCGCAAAGTCAATCACCTTCATATGGATCATCTTCTTTAAAAGTTTTCCCTTCTTTAACATATGATGCTCCAATGCTACCTTCTTCTTATGGTGCACCACCTCCACCATCGTCATCATACGGTACACCACCACAACCATCTTCTTCATATGGTGCACCATCACAACCATCATCATCATACGGAGCGCCGTCACGACCGTCATCATCATACGGTGCACCACAACAACCATCATCGTCATACGGAGCGCCGTCACGACCGTCATC